TAAGTCGACTGCCTTCATCTAGAGAATTCCACTTCTGTTGCATGGCTAGTGCATTTGCCTCTCTCTGAAGTAACAATGAGTTACTTTTGGCCTATGGAAAAAAACAAACATACCAATTACCTATAAGCTACACTTAAACCAGGTTTTGGCAAATAGCAATAGAAATCAGGTCACAAAAAGAAGAGCTCCCTCTTCAGACATATAACTGTATACTTTTAATGTCCAATATCTGTCCTGTCCTGCATTTGCAGACATCTATCAAGCCCACTACTTTCTACCAAAAACAGCCTTACTGATGTCAATGAATCATAAAAAGTGTTCCAGTACCAATGTCCGGGTATCTCAGTAATCATTGTATTAATATTACTACTTTCTGCAGATTATACCAAGAAAACTAATTTAATGTTATCCTATTTAAGTACGTGGTTCATCTGATCTTACCTGCTGTAATTCAATACTTAATAGATCTCCAGTGCTGGAATGCTTCCTGTGACCAGACAAATCTGTAACTATGAATCTGTCCCTTTGAGAGAAAAGAGGTAAAAATCAGGAATTGAAAATGAATACTCTAAATCAGAGGAACTGAAAGGACTGTTGGCCTATCATTATTAGTTCCTTGGACCAACTAGGTGACTAAGGTAATAAGCTCTTCAAGGCAAGGGAGCAGAGGGGGGACATATTAACAGTGTCCCAGGCATTATATGAAGCAAACATCCTTGTTTTAAATGTAGATGAGGTATGAGAAGAAAACCTGAGAAACTACTCAAGATCACAGTTTTGGGTGAGACAGATTGGTAGTGCCTGACTCCCATTCATTTTAAGATAGATTTTCCAAAGCTTTACATTGGACAGAAAAGTCCATTATTTGAAATTCAAGTCTATTAGGAGTTTTTCGTTCGTTTGTTTTAACTATATTCAGGATTTTGAACATTAGCAAGCTACAGAAAACATATAAAGAAAGTCCATACCGTTCTGCATAACGTGCTGATGAAGCTGAATCTGAGCCATAAGAACTCCATCTTGAGTCAACAGCATTGACATAAGGAACATAATCTGCAACCATTTGAAATACAATTCATTACTTTCTCCGTTCTTAAGAAATAGGGTATACAAGCATTTATAGTTCTTCAAATTTCCACTGCTGTATAAAGTATAAACTGGATGAAATGCTCATGATAAATGCTATATTATCAGTATGAAGCCTGTACTCGTACCTGATACACTGATGGGCTTAGTTGCACTTCCTTGGGAAGCAGTGGCCTGAATTGGATCTGTTGTGTGATAACCTGTGCGGGATGACCTGGAGATTGCACCCCACTTGGAAATGATCGGTCCATCACTAAATGGGATTATAGGATCTTCTTCCTTTGCCCTTCTCTGAGTTTCAAATAAATGCACTCTCCTTTTAACATCCCCGCTGTCCAAATCCTACATATTTAGGAAAGAGAAAGAGATAAATGGACTTGTTTGAGGTCATTCAGATGACTCAGTACACCGATGACTTTGATTATTGTTGCTGAATACAATGCTGAAAATCTGTTCAACTAGAGACAAGATGGACCACAATTATTTAATTATTGCCCTTTAATGCCATTGTCAGCATTAGAAGAAATAATTTTTGCTCCTCCAATCTAGTACCTCCAGGCAAAAAAGAGCTTCAGGATGCTTCAAGGACCTTCAGTACTATCTCCTGTATCTGAAGACAGTATCAAGAAGGTTTGAGAAGTGATGAGACTTGGTTACGCTTGTTTCAAAAAACGTGAAGGAAACCTGCCACACTACATAGCAGAAAGTCTCTAAAATCATGGGCTCTTACCCTTCCAAAGGCAAGCTGTGTGCCATGATTCATATCGCATACCTTTTGTTTCTCTAAGTACTTTTTTTTCCTCCTTATGGAAATCAGATGATTATTTTATCAAGCTATATTTTTCCCCTCCATAATTGAACTGTTTATTAGAGGAGAATGTGTCTTTCAATGAAATAAGAGGTATAGTCTAGGAAAATAGCTCTGAGACTTGGAATATGAAGCAGCCAACAGTAAATTTATGCTAATTATCCTGAGTGCACAGTATTTCAGCTTTCTTCATGTCATTTCTGAAAAGCGTACACTGCACTTAGGATAAACTTTAAAAGATTCACCGAAACAATAGCACAGTACATCTAGAGTCCTGAAAAGGCCAGTAATTATTCATATAGCATGGACAATTCCACTTGAATCAAATAAGAAATGTGTTTCTGCAATGGAAACACCTGCTCTGAAATGGTCACAATGACAGCATCAACTGGTCAGTTCTGTCAGTGCAACGTATTCTAAAACCAATCTTTTAGATCCTTAAGAAATTGTAAATACACACGTACACAAAAATGCTTATTGATGATGTGTGAAGAGAGATGGGATTGAGAAGTCAAAAATGCTTTTATCCCATCAGTCCAACAATTACAAAGCACATTTAAAAATTGAGTCTTATCAATGTACAAACCATCTACTCAAAACATTCTTAGTACTGGTTTGATTTACAGACACATTATTAAAATGGCCATTTCAGATGTCTGACAATTTTATTCCTTGCATTACATCCTGTCACAGATGTAAACAGAGTTTACAAGAACTAGAGGGAGATATGCTAAATGATTTCACACGGGCTGGGCTACTTTGAGCTAACATATCAAAAATATTAGCTATCAATTAAAAAAAGCTTGTTTAATCAAACAGAAGATACTTTAGCATACAAGTATCATTACATTAATGAGGCAACTTGCAGAAAACCCCTACCATTAACACGGCATTTGAATTGGCAATCACATCCTTGGGCTCTGAGTCGATAGCATTTATACAGGAACCAATAGTGCCACAAGACCACGGTGAATAATGAGAGAGATGATCTTCCTCAAATTTAGTTCCGCTCAAATCACTGACGCTCTCAGAGAACTATAGAGAAGGGAATAAATAGATAGTAAATAATATAAAAAGGGAATTCAGTCTTAAAATAACAAAAAAACATTTACTGCTATTTAATCAAAATACCTCAAAGTGAATCAAGGAACTATATCAATGCTCAAGACTTGATTTGGGGGAACCACAAACCAATTCACAAACAGATTTTAAACTAGTAGTACAGCTGATAGATGTCAAGGCTTTCCCAGCACAAGCGTTTGACTTGTCAAGATAAAAGGCTGAAATCAGCGTTGCTATCTTAGTGGCAGGTTTCTTCATGCAGCTACCTGCAGTAATTTAATTCAGAGGAAGTCATGCATTTTTATTTAAAGTAGAAACCAGTGACAGAAGAATGGCACAGAACACTTCAACCTGGATGAAGACTCAAAATCTGATATACCCTGAATGCACTCACTTCACGTTTATATACCCTGCAAGACCTATTCTGAATGATCACCATGTAACATCTCAAACATCAACAATGAAACTGTCAATCTACAAAGAGTGTTTAGTACAGTACTTCTCAAAGAATTTCTTGGACACAAAAATACACACTGCATCATTACTGTTTTCTTTTTCCTCTGCAAAGCAAACAGTTCCTATCTATTTCCATTACTGTTTACAGAATAGTTCTACCAACATATTTTGTCATTTCTAAGAGGTGTACATTCTCCAGGATAAGGTTGATTTAGTCTACTCATCATGCAGTGATGCCAACTGAAACATAAAAGAAACGGTCTATCTTGATGGAAAAGAACTGTAATTCCCTATTTTGGATAAAAACAAACCAAACAAAAAAAACAATCTAGAAGTTTCACAAAGAAAGTTCAATAGAGTTATGCTTCCTTTAGTGAGAGTAAATTGAATCACTTCTTCACTTTAATTTTTTTCAGAAATCATGTTTACTATCAGTTTACTACAAATTGAATGCATTTATAGTTAGATATTACTCTCTTCTTACTAAAAGACAAATCACTTTTTGAACAACAGATGGCAGATAGAAAATCTATACTAGAGATATTAAGTGGCATCTTACAGAAACAGGAAGTGAAAATAAAGTTCCTTGGCTTCCCACCTCTGTGTTGAAATCTACACTGAAGAGAGGAGAAGGTGGTGTTGGAGATGGTGTTGCCATAGGAAGGGTTGACGATACAAGAGGAGTTTTCTGTGTGTGATATTGTGCCCACTGTTCTGGCTTCCGTCGTAATTGTTCATCATACCCGGTCTTCAAGTGACCACAAGGCTCCTAGCAATAACAAATACAGGACTGTTTACCCTACCATACTCTCACCAGAAGGTGAATATTTGCAGGGGGCAAACTTGGAAAACATGCTCCCTTGGGTCTGTAGCCTTCCACTGATATCATCAGAAGAATCTTGCAAGGATTTGGAAGAGAACTTGTTCACGTACAGCAGCTCAAATCTTAAGTATATAGTTCATTCAAACAACGTGTACAGGAAATCAAGAGGCAGAAAGGTTCTGGTCTTAAACCAGATAATAGTAATCAACATTATAAGCCCACTTTATTCAATTAAAAAAAAAAAAACAACTTTGTCTGGGGCATATTTCTTGACCACTGTAAAGCCAACAGAACAGAAGAGGTCAATACTAATTATTTACTATTTAATTATTATTTATCATCTTTTCAGTAACAACTTTCAGGATTAAGCCTTAATTCCTCCTTCCTGTCTGGCTTTCACTTACCCTTGGTAAAGGCACAGTCCTCTGTTCATTTGGAGGTTGACAAGCCACAGAGTAATAGCCATCCAAAGAGTTGTATCTCTCACGTAATGATGTCTGATAGACAGATGAGTGCATGACATCCATGGGAGGTAAAGAATTGCTCCTAATAATATCATCCCGTGGGTACATCTGTGGGCGCCAGATGCGCCTGCTGTCATAAACTGGAGCATACATTCCAGAAGGGACGGGAGGAACTGGTCCATACGGCTGCGGAGGAGGAGGTTGGTAAGGAGAATTCAGTCGATCTCGAGGTGGAAACGTACTGTAATGATCGGCATATGGCACGGAAGCAGGTGGGAGGGAGGATTCTGGAACATTATTGGACCTCACAAATCGAGGAACACAGGGAGCCACGCCAGCTGGTACTGTTGGAGGTGGTGGATAGTATCCTTGAAAATTGGAAAAAGGTATATTTCATGTGATCACAAATAACCCAGAATTTTACACCTTCTATAACTGTAACTAGTTATAGAAGAGAATGAAGTGCAGCACAGTTCTAAAATCTCACTATCAACCATATAATCTCTCTAGAATTAAATTTATATATGTCAACCATACTTGCAGATGTAGCAGTGACCCTTTTATCAGCTTGACCCAATTTGGGGAACAGAGCTTCTCTGCCACTGCTCCCATATAGTATGACTTAACTATGTATGCAACTGAAAAGTCAACATTTTAAACACTTCTTTATACATGAAGGTAAAATAGCACCTCTAAAATAGAAAAATATATTGCTAAAAAAAATAAACAATTTTGAAGGTTCCTAAATGACAGTTTCACACTTTGTTCACTCCTCATTGGAAAGAGCTGTCTGAACACCTCTATCATTTCTTCTGATAACTTGTGAATGACCTGATGCTGGAGCAAACTCTAAATAGTTTGAATATAAACATGCACACCAAACCTAAAAACATAATTGAAACCTTTCAAAAACATCTAAACAAGTACAAACAGTCTCACAGTACATGAAAACACTGTTCTTCCCCAGGGCTCTGAATGCCTACAGTGGGAAAAGAATTTCTTCTAACAATACATAATCCATACTGTATTTCTCTTGTTTATTGAGCACTAAACGTTCACATGGTATGAATCTTGTCCATGGATATCCTCCATGGATAGAGCGTGAGGTGAGCAAGCCCAACAAAATGCAATTCAATGTAACAAAGGAAAAAGCAGATGGGAAACCACGTGGTTCACGTTCTGTATTCTGAGGTACAAGTTGCAAAATATACAGCAATCAAAGGCAAGAATCACCAATAATGGGAGCTGATTATGAGTCCCTGCCATCAGGGATGGAAGACAGTATTCTATTGAGTGAATGTTCAGCTGGTCTTAAAAAAAAAATCCATCAGACTGAAATATAAGCTATTTCTGACTACATAACATGCAGGCATACCTAGATGAAAATTCAAACCTACTCTTGGCTCAGTGTCTCGTGCTCACCTGTCTGTGGGTACTGTGGAACTTCATACGACAGCTGAGTTCTGGGATCTTGGAAATACTGAACGTTATCAGAATGTGGAGGGTAAACAGGTACTCTGGGAACAAACTGGCTGGATTTTGGAGGCACAGAATTCACTTCTGTTCCAATATTAGGAGGACCAGCTGAGGTAGCTGCTGCCTGGCTTACAGGAGTCTTGGGTGGAGAACCAATTTTACTGAAAAGGATTACCAAGAAATCATTAAACAGATCCTTATGTATTTTGGTTAATCATCTCTCCATGTACACACTCATATGTAATGTGAAAATTTGGGTGAAGTTACTTCCTCTAGAATTTTAACACCCAAATTAATTAATCTCAGACCTTCTCATAAGAGAACTCAAAAGCATATATAAACATTTTGTGATGTACTCATAACCTTACATAACACTCGCAAATATATTCTGGCAGAGACAAAGGATTTGAAACATTTAAAGAATCAGCACTTCATGGAGAAGTACCAAAACAACTTTAAGGGAAAATCCCAAAAGTGGAAGGTTTCCAGGATTAAAGGGATTTTTCTTGTTTAAAAAACAAAAAAAAACCAAAAAAACAAAAACACCACATGTACTCCTCTTGCTTCCAGGAAACATCCACTTTTGAATGCAAGTTCTTTGTTTTATGCAACAACTAAGTTAGGTATCAGTAAAATAGAAGATACAGGAAGAAAATTTTATATCACACGGAACTATTTAACAGCTAACGTAACTAGTGCTGGCTCTGACAACTTGAAGCTAAACTTTGTATAATGAATAGTTCTCGCTGCAGTACCCTCCACAAGTCTGCAGCCAGTAAGCTGCAACAATTGCACAGCAGAACCAGAATTCAGTATCTATTATTTGTGATTCACAAGCTTTTCTGCCTTTACAATTCAAGAGCAAAATGTTGCTCTTAGCTATTTTTATGAAAAAAATGTTACCTACTTCTCAGGTAGTGATTCTGTAGGGGATCCAGAAACATTCTGGCCATTGGCTCCACTCTTCCCTGCCTTCTTGGTGTTCTCCAAAGCTCTTAAGGAGGTGTCTGCACAGCGAGGAATCAACTGGGGAACACCACTTTCTAGATTAGCTATTCCATTAGTACTTGGCACCATCTTTCCTGTTGCTTCAGGGCTTCCTATGACAGAAATTACGCTTCCTGTAGTGGTTGAGACGGTGCTATTAACGCCAACTTTATTTAGAAGGGGGAATGTTCTCACTGTTGCACTGATTTTTTTGTTCCTCAAGCGATATCTACAAACAAACATGTAAACACGAGAGACAAATGATTTAAGAAGTGCTTATTGTGCAGTTTAATGTATTTGTAAAACTAGTGAGAGATTAAGAACATGATAGCCAAGAATTACAGGACTTCACACCGCTGTCTATTTTCAACAGATTAGCCTAATTTAAGTAGAACATCAGCATCCTCTATGTGACCAAAGATCATCTCCTAGTGAAACATCAGCTTGTGCAGTCCTTTGGAAAGGGAACAGGGTGAAAACAGATTTAAGAATGCATACATTACATATTACCTAAATAACTCAGTTTATTCCTTAGTCAATTAAAATATAATCAACATTTTCTCTCCTCTGAGTGGTATATTCAATCTATATTCAATCCCTAACAGACACTGAGCCTAGAATCAGTTTCAGAAAAGAAAACTTTACTTCATACAGGTAAAATAAAAAACAGAACAGGAATTAGTTGATAGGTGTTTCTTTACTGTACCTTCAACTTCATGTTAGAGTTGTAATTTCAAGCGATTAATGAAACTTTCGGAATGAATAAAAACACCTTAGAAACCATTTTCAAAGTTCTAAGGTAACTGCTTAGATTTAAACTGAAAATCTTTAAGAGAGCTTGAAACTCACTTTTCAAGCTCTTCCTGAGAATGAGCAAATGTACAGTTGGTTCCTCTTGGACATCCCCCTTGTTGTCGAAGGTCTCGGCACATACTTGTTTTGTATTTGCTATTTGGTTGTGGCTTAAAAAACACAAATGAAAGATACTCCATTTACAAACAAACACAAAAATAGACATAAAATATGCACACAAACATATTCAAGATATTTTTTAACTGTCTTTCATCAGAAAACTAAGGAATTGCTTGTTGGTGAGCTAGGCACTATGCTTTTGTATGGATCTCAACGTATTAAGCTCTGCTGTATTCCATATTCGGAAATGCTGTTTTCAGAACTAGAATGCAGAAGATAACAGTATTATTGATTATTCCACAGAAAAGGCCATAAATATTTCAATGTAACTGTAATTTTTAAGAGTTGCATGTTACATTAAGTGTACATCAAGACATATCACGCAATGATGAAATATAGTAACCTGTGGAGTTTCGTGGCCTTTTCTACTGTAATTCTGAATGAAATCCACCAGCCCGTGTACCACCGTCTTTACAGCCACCATTGCATTTTCCAGCTGCTCCCATGTTGGAGATGCTGCATCTAAAATTATTAAAAGCAGGTTTGTCATTGTTAATAATTTCCTGAATCATAAATAAGAGAACTTTTTTAAAACATTGAGGACTAGGGTACAGTTCAGAGAATCCTGAAGATTTTATGATAGCAATACGGTAATTGGAATTTTGAAATCAGTAACCAAAATTATCATCTTATATAATTTACTTTGCTTTGATATTAATGATGTGAAGAGATTTAAAAAAATAAAACAACAACTTTGCTTGCTTACCTGGATTTGGGTCTATGTTTGCCAGGAGCTCTAAATGAGGTCTCAGCCTGTTTAAGTTTGCAGGATCACCTGTGCGCTGCAAGACGATCGTCAATTCTTGCACGCTCTTTGCAAAAGATTCTGGAGATTGGAGCTGAAAGTAAAGTGAGTGTTAGCGTGTTTCATCCTACAACTGTGAAGTGTCAATTTTAAGATTTCCATTGTTTCCATTGCACTGGCTCCTAAATGCAATGTACAGTGTCTTCAGATGGCATACAGCAAGTATCAGTGGAGAGAAATTCTATTTCTCAGCTCAGAATCTGCCCTATGAAGCTTCATCATAAGACACAAGTCACAAACTACTGAAAAACAAACTGTCTTCATATGAAGAATATACTGTAGTAGGGAAAAGCTTTTATTCTAGTTTTACTTAATATTTGAAACAACTAAAGACAAAAGGATAACTGAAGTAATTCTTGGATTTTTTTTATAACATTAGAGTCAAATACCAAAAGATACTAAAACCAGCCCTTTGACGAACCTTGTCGATAATGGATTGCATGTGAGATTTATGTGCCAAGTCACCATAAAGAAGGGAAGACCACTGTTCTGGTGATATTCGAAGTCCTGCCTCCATGGCAATGTGAACAATTTGGGCATCATGTTCTCTCCGCAAAGCCTCGTAACTCCGAAACTCTTCTTTAAGTTGCATCAGAGAAGAATCTTCATCCCTTTTAGTGACCTAATGAACAATGATGCATAAACACTCCTTTAGCAAGAAACCTCCAATCTGTCAAAAAAAATGCTACATAGAACAAAATGCAAAAGCATATTTCTTCTTGATACTTAGCAGATAATTTATTTTCTTTGTTTTGTTTTTTTTTCTTCCCCATTTACTCATCCACTTTAGCCAGCAGCACACAGGCAGAACAGCCAGCTCTTTAAGTTTTAACAGGATCACTAGTGTTAAACTGTGATATCAACTCTACTACTTTCAGCTAAGCAATCAATCAGATTTGCTTAAGTCACAAAATATACAAAGCAGTTAGCTGATACAGTTAGATATTCAGCTGTTCTTCCAATAGCTTTTGCTGCCCAATGCTAGAAGATTACTTAAAGAAAAGAGAAAGTCTCTCAAATTGACTTAAGCGATACAAAGGAAGAAAACTTGGCCTCTCTGGTAAATATTCTTCACTATAAATGTTAAATAAACTCTTATTTAAGACATTTGCCATAAAATAATGCAAGAGATCTCATCATTTTTTTTGTAACGTCATGATATATTAGATATTATGGTAACCATGGAAGCACCCAGGATTACAGCATTACAGAAACTTTCTTCAGAATTGGACTTCAAGCTTTGAGAGTATCCAGGCCAGTCTAACACATCTGGCCAGGCCTACTCTTATGAATCCACATCAAGTCAAATATGATTATAATAAACCATTTTATTTCTTCCTGAAGCAGGTGAGGAGTGCCTACTAGAGTTACATTTCATGTCTCCCTCAAGAGAGAGTTTCCAGCAGATGGACAACAATTAGTAATGAGAGGTAATTGCAGAGTTGATTCCAGTCAATTCAATATATGACCATTTGTTCCTTTTGCATAGACCTTTAAATATTAGATAAATTCATGTCAGTTTTACGCTGTATAGTCTACACCATTTGAATGTATTGAAACAGAATTTATGTAAGATTTTACAGGTGAAAAATCAGTCCTAAGAAAGGTTCCTTGGAATTGCACTTGTTCAGTAACTAACTTCAAATTCTGGTATTTTACCTTAAAGCATGATGCTCTATACAGTAGCTGCACAACATGACCAATGCTTGTTTTAGAGGCCTGAGGAAATCTTGGTTCTAGCCTTTGCACCACAAAAAGTACAAGAACTTTTCTTGAGAGTGCAGAGCCATCTTCCAGTGCCAGTAATACAAGTTTCAGTGCCTCCTCTTGCATAGCTTTAGCACACAAAAATAAGAAAGGAATAGAAATATGTTGCCAGAAAACAGCATTGCTATTGTGTATTAAGACCATCTCCATTTCATGCAGAAATGTCTGAATCATCCTAAACGCAATTCCTTATTTTTACTTCGCTAATAAAAAAACGTTGTGAACAAATTTTAAGAAATTTGCACGTTCAGAAGGAGCATCCAAAGTTAGTTAATTGATTGTATTTACAGCTAAAGTATATAGAAAAGAAATTTGCACTTTAGCATCAAAATCTGATCAGAGACATCAGTACAACCAGCCTGTGTTACAGTTACACTGTGTAACAGGCTGTGAAGAAAGCTGATTTATCCATGTTTCTTCACCAACAGTTTTGAATCAATTCCTCATAATTTCAATGAACAGTCAATAAAGCCAAAACAAAACAAAAAAACAACAAACCCCAAAATCTGTTTTAAGAAACACCATGCAGTCTTCTTTCCCTTCCCTCTTTCTCATATAAAGTTGAAAAATGGAAGTCATGGTACTTTCAACTGCACAGAAAAAGTTTGCAAGATTTTTTTTTTTTTAATGTATGTTAAGAAAAGGTATGTATATATTTATATGTTGCAGATTCTGCAGGTACCTTACCTGGCCCTAGAAACTGACATCCTCGTGCCCTGACAGCAGCCCAAAGATTGGCAGAAAGCTGCTGAGGATTTTGGTGCTGCAAGATCAATTCTGTAACGGTTCTCTCGCCCAGCGATCGAGCTGCTCTCATAGCTCTAACTCGACCCTCTTCCTCTACCAGCTGACAATTCACCAGTGTCACAAGCTTCCTTTGCATTGGACGGCTCAGTGCACTCTGATTCAAGCTAGCAACACCTTCAAAGAAAGAGAGAAAAGATAAAACTACTGCTTTTAATTGGACAAATTAATCTAGGTAGAACAAACAAAAATGTATAATAGTATGTCTCTAGGACTTGAATTCTAATCACAGGTATCATCATTTCTCTTGGGCAATTCCGAGTAACTCATTAGCAAAAAGAATTTTAATTAGAGTCTTAAATTGACGTCAAACTCATCCTTTGAGGAAAGTTCAGCTTTAGAAAGAAGTTAGTCCCATGGAAGCATCATTAAATATTTAAAAAGTATTTGTAAACTTGAAATCAAGAATCAATTGTCATAAGTGTGAATAAGACATGGTAGAAAATTTTACTATAAAAACAAGAGAATTATCCCACTGATGTCTAAAATCAGTGCTTAAAACCACAGTGCTGTTAAAAGTACACCAAAACTGCTGCACCAAAATCCCACTGGTCAGTAGAGACTTACCTTTTCCTCCACTTAATGGCTTTAAGTAGAGTGCCAAATCCTCAACACATTTCTTTGCTACTTCATAATGTTTGTTCTCTCCTACATTACTCAACTTTACTGTCTGATGATCAGGTACCTAAAAAATATAAACAATAGGTGAAAAAGAATTGTACGTACCCATCTGACCTATATGATAAGCCTATGATGGTACCAACATCACTACCATAATTACATAACACTGCAGATGTACAATGCTTCTCAGGGAAGAGAAAGACAGAACCCATCTAAGTTGTGTGGAATGTAATAAGGAGTAACAGAAAGGACTAAAGACAAGTATCACAAATGAAATATTTTTGTTAGTACTCAACACATTAAGAACAAAATAGGATTAAAAAAAAAAACCAATAACCAAGACCTGATGGAAAACGTAGTGAAAAGATAGCTGAAGAACACAAGATTTGTGAGGATGATAAGTGTATAAGACCAGCATGATTTACTACAGAGAAACAAAGGAAGTTGTCTTACAACTGGCAAGAACATAAGATGAAGAAGTCAAAAACAAAGTTAAATAATTTAAGCATATAGGCATACAAATAGCTTTGAAGTCTTCAAAGAGAAGAACTATCAAACTTAACTTGGTGCAAGAACTCAAAGTGGAGTAACAAGGTCAGACTACGAAAATAGAAGGAACATTAGTCACAATACAGTCAATTGTTTGAAAGACACTGCTAGAAGTTCAGAGCCCAGGAAAACAAATGTTGTTAGATCAAGGCAGTGACACAAGAAAAAAAAAGATGAATTTGAGAAAAAACACAAACAGATAATATTATTACCAACAGCTTCACCTAAGCATGCGATAAAACAGTAAAAAGAAAAGTAAATGCATCATCAGCGCATCACCCAGGCGTTATAGACAGCATTATGAAAAAGTATGTGAATCAGCACAAGGTGAACAGACTTATTTAGTCTCCATAAAGTGCAGTACTGATTATATAATCACTGTTTTGCCACTGCTATGAGAGTACAAGGAACATTCCTGTCCTGATTAGCCAGTACCTGAAAATGCAACTGAAAAGCTATCATACACATTTTTTAAAAGAACTAGACATATTTCTAAAACTTAGTTAAACAGCTAGCTACTCTGAACATGTGACATGCAGAAGTGAGACTCCTTGCAAGAAAGTGTACAGTAAATGAGCGCAATCTGCAAGTCTGCTTTTCCAGTGACTATCATCACAGGCAATTGTCTAACTTCTAATAAGTATTTTTCTCCAGTCCCATTCCAGGAGTCTTTTCACACCAGAATTCACTTCCAACTTGGAAGTATTTTCATTTTTTGTGAAGTGGGTGGACCTGAAAATGGTATGGCTCCTTTTATAGTATACACTGACTTTAAAATGCTACAAAAGTCAAAGCCTTGCCATTTCTTAGACCAAACGGGGGAAAAACATCAGCACAACTATTGCGACTGCATGTAAATGTTAATAACACGAGATGGCAAAACAAAGAGCAGTTTAAATCATACCTGGGCTCCAACTAACTGGAGGAGTGCAAAGTTTACAGGAAGCACATCGATGTCTGTATTGATGGCAGTCTGGTCGAAAGGACATGCCTTGCGATGAAGCTTGTTCAGGCAGGTCTTACAGACAGTGTGAGAGCAACCTAAGCTGATGGGTTTGTGCACATTCTCATCAAACTCGTTGTAGCAGATTGGGCAGGACAGAAATTCTGTCCACTGAGCTGCCTGCACAGGCATTGTGGAAGCTGGACAGTTGCTTAGCAGGCTAGAAGACCATTATTTCACTGTACTACGTTTTGGCAGCTGTAAGTGAATAACAGATTATTTAAAACATGCTTTCTGGTAGTTTAGAATGAGTCTGAATTAAAAAAATACCATTTCAATGTTTTATAGACTAACATAGAATTCTTACATCCAAGTACTCAAAACCACAACTTTTTGATAGCTTAGTAACTGTACAGAAAGGCTCATGAACTGAATTACTGTAGGCTACAGTAAGTTGAAGTTGAACATATTCACAATAAATGGTATTAAAATTCCTCTCATAGGATTAAATACAACTTTAGTTAGGAAAAGGAAGACATTTATTGGCACAGAAAGAGCATATGCATCCAATCTCATCTTAACTCAACCTTTCACAGGCATGGTGGTGCTGCAGTTGGACTAGATGATCTTATTGTTCTTTTCCAACCTTAATAATTCTATGACTCTCTTATGCCACCTCCCTCCCCCTCTCCCATCAGAGCACTCGAGAAGGACCGAGATTGTTCTACCCAGTTTTGCTTTTTACATCTCTACTTGACACAACAACACAACTCCACTTCAGCAAACTTGCAGGAAAACATCTGATGTACTGAAAATCCTGGCATTTTGGATAACACTTTAGGATAAAGCAAGCAATAACTTCAATTGGCTTGTTATTAAGTTTTTTCTCTTGAAAATCCTCTGTTCAGATGTAAATGACATGCATGATACATCTGCCTATTCAAAAAACCAACTGTTCTAAAACACGTCGCGTTTTACATAACTTAAGTCCTACGAAAAAGATAACATGCCTGGGAAGTTCACTGAAACCATTTACATTAAAGCTTTGGTGGAAGACTCATATTCACATTCACCTGAGAGCAGAACAGCCCCACCCTGCACTGCAATGTGCAGCAATGTTGACTTTCTATGCAACCTGGAGACCTGTTAGTTCACTTCAAGGCTCTGAACAAGCCTATCCGAGCAGCTTACTATTTAGATAATATATTGCAAATATATTAGATAATATAATGCAAATATTTAGATATTTAAATGACACATTTCAATATATTTTTTTCCATGAAAAAAGGTAATTGTTTTAAGAAAACTGTGCTCTCTCTCCTGCATTTGAATTCAGTAAGTCTTCACTGTGACTCCACTGTTGGCTGTGCTAACATGTAATTAATGCTAAAGTATTGGACCATTGAAATGATTACATCCACATATCGAGTCTATTTGGTGCTCTAGTAGTTTACATTAGTTGTAGCCATCTGTTTAGAACTGCTATTTAACATGATGAACATTCAGTGCCCTTTAGGTACAGGACACTTGTACAGCATGTCGCTATCTCAGCGCACTTTTCAATATTATGCAGAAACTCCACCCTCCAAAACAAATTCCCACAGTAAACATAAAACAAAACAAACTGGAAGTTGAACCTGTCCCTTAAGAACAAAGCTGCTGAGGCAGTGCTTCCAACACTGGCCAAAATATTCACACGTACTGGACAACAGATTTTCACCCAGCTCGCCTGAAAGCACAGTCAAAGCCCTTGCAGGGATGAAAAAACATGCTCCTCTTTCATCTGCTATCGCTACATGCATCTTTTAACCACTGAAATCCCAAAGCAAAAGAAGAAATTGCAAAAACAAATGAACCAATGTACCTAAACAGACATTTCATTCCTCTATAAGGAATCCCACCACATTCTTCAGCTCACTTGCTTCAACAACAAGGGTTGGGCAGAACTGCAGCATAAAGCCTTGCAGGAAACACCTGCATTCCTGGAACACCAAGGTGCTGCCACCACCACTATGCTGATCCAAGACTAAAACCCAGGGCTTTACACAGCCCAGACTGCTCGAGGAAGTGCTGCCATCATGACACAGAAGGGGAGAGGTGCAAAGGAAGGCTGCTACACACACAGCCCACTGCCAGTGTGCTGCTGGTCACTGGCAGCCTCTGAGCAAACTGCTCATTAACTAGCTCAAATGCAAAAACTCCAGCTCAGTACCCACATTCAGATACTACAGGCACATGCAACTAACACCACCTCTCTACAGGCTTCTAAAATAGTTGTTTCCCTGACCAGCACGGAAAGAAAACAAAACAGATTCTTGAAGAATGCACCACTTATTTGTACAGATCTCTGCATATTTATTCATCAGAAACGGCAGATTCTTCTCAGCATGTGCTGACTTCCAGATTTCTTGTCAGGAAGAAGTCTAATGAATTGGGCACACAGTTGAGGAAAGCTCTCAGCTGAAAGCTTTGGGCAGCCACAGCAAGAGGAAGCCACAGCAAGAGGAAGCCACCACACCTGCTACCTGCCACTGCCCCACCTGAAGGCTGTGCCTTCAGAAGGTGCCACACCTCCTCCCCATCACGCTGACTCCTACAGAAGGCATAAGCCAAATGTTTAACAAATTCTTGTTCCTTGTCAGAAACAATGGATTTCAGGGACTCCTGAAGAACAAATCGCTCCAGTGCTCTGAACTGAACAGAGAAAAGGAAGAGAACAAAATAAAACAAGAAGCCACTGGGGTTTTGGTTTTAAACAGAAAATGCACTCAGTATAATTATCCTTTGTCTACCTGATCTGTCTGTTAAATATGCCACCTCTACACATAATGCCAGGCTTCTTTTCCTTGCCAAAGCAGAAGCA